CAGGCTCCTAGAACCATCCGTCTCCGCGTCCTCGATCCTCTCTGCTAGGGCATATGTGAAGATATTATGTAATAGGGCTTATATAATGCAACTTATTTATAGATGTGTTTCCTAATTAAGACGACTAGTGAGGATGAGGACGCTCTGAGACGGCTGGCCCAACTCGTCGTCCGAGGTTTTACCGGAATTATGTAAGGCAGCTAAGCGACTAACGACGCGTCGGTTTATTGACGTTCGCCGACTGCCCGATTTGGATTTTCGAGCTGGCTTTGTCGTAGCACCTCAGCCGCCCTTCGAGCATGTCATCTGCGTCGATAGCGGGATGTATAATGCAATTAAATAGAAGTAATCCTTGGATAGTATGCATGAGAAGTCTATGGGTTGTTGCTATGTATTTTTGATGCATAAATCACTTTGCAAACATTGAAAGGTGCAAGTACTAGGCTCCTCAATGAAACATGGCCCAAGACCTTAGGGCACGGGGTATATGAAATTTCCTATGATACGGATATGGCAGCTTGCCTCACTCTTGCGGTGAATAGCTGTTCACTGTTTTCTTGGTTGAAGTGGGGAGATTCCCGCGCACACTCGCCCGAAGTGCATGCAATCAACGGGTCAGAGATGCACTATTCCGATATTGACAGATGCAAACTCTATGTCCCCAACATCACGCGGATGAGCAGATGACATGCTCGAAGGGCGGCTGAGGTCAGGCTCCTAAACCACCCGTCCTTAGCGTTCGCGCTCCTCTAATTACTAGGGCAGAAGTGAAATATTATGTAAGAAAATGTATTATATGAGAATTACCGGATACAGAACGAACAAGAGGAGGAGAACGCTATAGGACGGCTGGCACAAATGTCGTCGCCGAGATCCCCGAGGCTGACTAAGCGGACGGTGGCTGAAGCCTTTCACCAGCGGTCGGCGGGCCTTCACGCAACCACTTACAAATTATTACCTTGGGATTTACCGCTCGGTGTACTTTATAGTAATGTAAAAATGTCCTAGCTGAATGGTATACTCATGCAATGGTTATCAGTAGTTCCGAAGGCTGAATATCCGGCTGAAGAGGCATAATGGCTATAGACAAGCCCCTCTGAGTGTCAGAAGTATACCAAAGGTATTTGCATTGGTCTTAAACTATTTTAGCACCCGTTTATATGTGT